CACAATCAACACCAATGGAAGCAGCAGTCAGGACATCAGACAATGTAGTTCACTGGGCAAATCTGCTGCAAAAGACCTCTTTCAAGTGCTGAAGAGCAAAGATGTCTCTTTGAAGACTAAGATCCACCTAACCCATGCCATGATATTTTCAGTCACCTCATATGCAAGGGAAAGCTGGACAATGAATAAGGAAGACTGAAGAAGCATTGATGTTTTCGAGTTGTGGTGTTGGCAGAGAATACTGAAAGTACCTTGGACTGCCAGAAGGACTAACAAATCTGTCCTGGAAGAAGTGTGGCCAGAATGGTCAGATTTCGTCTCATTTACTTTGGTCATGTTCTCAGAAGGGACCATTCTCTGGAGAAGGATATCATGTTTGGTAAAGTGGAAGATCAACGAAAAAGGGGAAGGCCCTCAACGAGATGGACTGACACAGTGGCTGCAACCATGGGCTCAGGTATAGCGAGGTTTGTGAGGCTGGCACAGGCCATGAGTCGGAGCCAACTAGAAGGCGCCTAACAACAACAACAAGCTTTGCTGTGTAAAAGACTAACCTTGTTACAAAATAAAATGGGAGAAAAAAAAAATCCTATTTAAAATGGCAATCAAAAAGATTTGTTTAAATCAAGGAAAAGATGCAAGACATGGGCAGGGTCTGTAGGAGGAGTTCAGATGGCCTGGTAGTTGGAGGCCCGGGCTCTGAAAGCCTGAATAGGTTCTTGGAGCCCTCCATTTATTAACTATGCAGTGTTGCACAAACTGCTGGGCCTCTCCAAGCTTCAGTCACTTCATCTAGAACGCATTGTTGCTCTTTGGCATGATTAAGCCCTCAGCTGCTAACCAAAAGTTTTGTGGTTAGAACTCGCCCCCACCATGGCTTCACGGAAGAAAGTCCTGGTGATCTCCTTCTGTAATTATTACAGCCTACAGACCCTATGGGCACAGTTCTGCTCTGACACACATGGGGCCACCATGAGTAGGAATGAACTTGGCTGCAACTGGCTTTTTTTTTTTTTTTTTTGTATCCTTCTAAGAAAGGAAACCATCCCTCTTAAAGAAAAAAAAAATTACTGTGGTGAGATATACAGACCATTTATCATTTCAATCATTTTTACATGTACAATTCAGTGACATTATGTCCCCTGTGTTGTGCAACCTTCATCACTATTCATTTCTAGAGCTTTTCATCACCCTTAATAGAAACCCAATGTCTCTTAAGCAAATATTTCCCCATATCCTCCTCCCATGAGTCCTTCGTAACCACTAGTCAGCTTTAGTCTCTGTGCGTTTGCCCATTCTGGATATTTCACATTAGTGGGAGCATACATTATTTTCCTTTTGTTGTTGTTGTTGTTGTTGTTGTTATGTGCCGTCAAGTCAGCCCTCACTCATAGCAACCCCTCCTTGGGTTTCCGAGGCAGTATCACTATGGAAGTAGGATTGCCCAACCTTCCTTCCAAGGAGTGGCTGGTGGGTTTGAACTACCAGCCTTCTGGTTAGCAGTCAAGTGCTTTAGCCACTATGCTACCAGAGCTCCTATTTTCCATTTAGGTCTGACTAATTGCACTCAGCATAATGTTGTTAAGGTTCATCCATGTTGTGGCATGAATCAATGCTTCCTTCCTCTTTATGGTTGAGTAATATTCCATTATATGCATGTACCACATTGTGCTTATCCATCCATCGATGGAGACTTGGGTTGTTTCCACCTTTTGGCGACTGTGAAGAATAGAGGGATGGACATTGGTGTAGGTACGTGGGTGGCTCCATTTGCACTTGGCTACTAATTGAAAGGTTGGTAGTCCAACTCCATCCTTCAATAGCACGGGAGAAGGCCTGGCGATCAACCATTGGAAGCCCCATGGAGTGCAGTTCTACTCTGACACGTGTCGGGTCACCATGAGTCGGAATCAACTAGGCCACAAGGGGTTTGGTGTGGACATTGGTGAGCAGTGTCCACCCCTCTCTGGGGCTTTCTCTGCCTACCTGCAGAAGACACTGATACCCTGCTTCTCTCTGTAGGTCTTGGAGGAGGGTTCGGCTATGTTGTTGGGGGGATCCACTGGGACAAAACCAGCTTCGGGCGAGCCCTGGGTGGGCAGCTCCGAGTTATTTACATCTTCACCGCAGTCACCCTGAGTGTCACCACCGTCCTGACCCTGGTCAGCATCCCGGAGCGTCCACTGCGGCCCCTGGGCGAGAAGAGAGCTGCCATGAAGAGTCCCAGCTTGCCCCTGCCCCCTTCCCCACCCATCTTGTTTGAGGAAGGTGCTGGTGAGGACCTGCCTTCTCACAATGCCACCAACTTATACGCCAGCTTCACCAGCCCCATCTCTCCTCTCAGCCCCCTCACACCAAAATACGGCAGCTTCATCAGCAGGGACAGCTCCCTGACAGGGCTCAGCGAGTTCGCCTCCTCCTTTGGCACCTCCAACATAGACAGTGTCCTCATAGACTGCTTCACGGGAGGCCAGGACAGCTACCTGGCCCTTCCCGGAAGCTTCCCCAGACAGACCATCAGTGTCAGCTTCCCCCGGGTGCCTGAGGGCTTCTACCACCAGGACCGTGGGCTTCTGGAGCGCAGGGAGGCCGCCCTGACCTCTGGCGTGGATGGGGACATCTTAAGGGTGGGCTCCTTGGACACCTCAAAGCCACGATCGGCAGGGATTCTGAAGAGGCCCCAGACCTTGGCCATTCCAGATGCTGCTGGAGGAAGTTGCCCAGAAACTAGCAGGAGAAGGAACGTGACCTTCAGCCAACAGGTAACAGGGGGGACACTGAAGAGCATTAGCTGGATGACAAAGAAGGAGAATCGGTTTTGAAAAAACAAACAAAAACCTGTGGGCCATCAGAGTGGAATTGTAAAGTGTGTTGATCTAAATAGACAGCTTCATAAGCATTTACATTTTCACTGACAGACACATCAGTAAACAAATGTTCTAAAGTGAGTCCCACAGACGAAGGTGGTCATGGCATCTGCTAAGTATAAATCAGGGAGTTTAATAAATTGTCAAAGAGCCCTGGTGGCAGAACAGGTAAGCACTTGTCTGCTACCTGCAGGGTCAGCGGTTCGAACCCACCCAGCAGCTCTGTGGTAATCTGCTCCCATAAAGATTACAACCTGGGAAACCCAATAGGGCAGTTTTACTCTGTCCTATAGGGTCACTATGAGTCGGAATTGATTTAGCAGCACACAACAACAATAAACTGGCTATGTGATAAATTGACAATTCTTTTAAACTCTGCTTCATATTCCCAAAGGTCATTCAGTCTAGGAGTGTGTGTTTGTTTCTAGTATTTCTTTCCAACACTTGCAGTCCATTTTGACTGAGTGACTCTGGTGCCAAAGAATCTAAGTGGTCGTGAAAGGCAGAAGGAGAACGTGGTGAAACCCTGAATGCTCTGGGCTGTCGTCTGCTGTAGATACTGTCTCTCCTAATACCCAGCATTAGCTCACTCCCAGAGGCAGGAGAAATGCTGGGCTCTACAGGGCAGAGGCCTGTCCTCCTATGAAAGCACAGGACCTTCTGGAAGGCTGTACGAGCTGTAGTTAGTATATTCCATGTTGGCTAAAGGACCATGAACCCAGTGGCTTGTTTGGGGGATTCTACTAGCTTTCAGCGTCCATGATCTGGGTGAGGTGACTTTAAAGAGGTTATTCTTTCATGTAAAGCAGGCACAATAGCTACTGTGCCCTGCCAGCCCTCAGGGGACACTACGGGATGAGAGCTCATTTCAATAAGATCTTGGAGTTTCTTAAGCATGTTGTCGTTGTTAGCTGTCATCCAGTTGACCACCAATTCATGATGATCCCATGCACAATGGGACAAAATGCTAATGGGTCCTGTCCCACTGCTCGGTTGTCATGGATTGGACGAGAGTGAGCCATGGGGGTTTTCACTGGCTGAGTTTTGGGACTAGATCCCCAGGCCTTTCTTCCTGCTCCATCTTAGTCTGGAAGCTCCACTCAAACCTGCTCAGCATCGTAGCAACATACAGCCTCCACTGACAGGTGGTTGCACAGGAGGTGCACTGGTTGGTCATCAAACCTGGGTCTCCACGTGGAAGGAGAGAACTCTGGCACCGAACCACCACTGTGCTCTTCTTGCACATGCATCCTATAAAACTGGGTTGAGCCTGCACAGATCCTTCAGAGGAGGTGCTCCTGAAGGCTGGGTGACCAGAAGCACAGCCCAGTGAGATGCATGTCCTGGGGCCACAGATGCCGTATGCACCATATGCAGTGTGTCACTGATGCAATGCCCAGGCTCTGCCTACCCATCCCAGACCCACATGAGACCCAAATGACTATGTCCTGCTGTTCCATTTCACCTCAAGGAGCAGGTGCCCCCTCCTCTATGCTTGAAAGACTTCTCAGACTTTATCTGAGGCTGACTGGAGACATATTTTGAGATCCTGGCTCATTTTCTTCTCGTAATTGTTTGTCTCATTGGTTTTTCTCTTGTGTATTCATTCCTTCATGCCATTTACATTATCTCTTACTATTAGTGTTCCTTTTAGTCAAGAGAGGGTATTTTTCACTTTCAATAATGTAAATCTAAACTCAAAAAACTCACTGCCATCAAGTCAGATCCAACTCATAGTGACCCCTCCTTGGGTTTCCAAGGTGGTATCTCTATGGAAGTAGATTACCCAGTCTTGCTTCCAAGGAGTGGCTTGTGGGTTTGAACCACCAGCCTTCTGGTTAGCAGTCAAATGCTTTAGGCAATACACCACCAGAGCTCCTAATGCAAATCTAGTTATGGTCTAATACACTAGTTGAAAGTTTCCATTGAGTCAACTCCAACTCATGGTGATCCAACATGTGTCAGAGTAGAACTGCTCCAGAGTGTTTCCAATGGCTATGATCTTTCAGAAGTAGATCACCAGGCCTTTCTTCTGAGATGTCTCTGGGTGGATCTGAACTACCAACCTTTTGGTTAGTAGCCAAGCACTTAACCATTTGTGCCACCCAATAACTCCTCCCATTATCTGTTAAGCCTCATCTTGAGGAAGGATGCTAAGAATGTGCATCTGAGTCATTGTAGGGGAGTTTTGAGAGCCCCTATGGACATCTTGGTTCAAACCCACCCAGTGGCTCTGAGGAAGAAAGACCCGGTGACCTGCTTACATAAAGATTGTTGTTGTTAGGTGCCATCAAGTTGGTTTCAACTCACAGTGACCCTAGATACAACAGAATGAAGCACTGCCCAGTCCTGTGCCATCCTCCCAACCCTTGCTGTGCTTGAGTCCATTCTTGCAGCCACTGTGTCAATCCATCTCCTTCACAATCTTCCCCTTTTTTGCTGACCCTCTACGTTATCAACAATGATGTCCTTCTCCAGGGACTGGTTCCTCCTTATAACATCGCCAAAGTATGAGAGATGAAGTCTGGCCATTCTCACTTCTAAGGAGCATTCTGACTGTACTTCTTCCAAGATAAATTTATTCATTCTTCTGGCAGCCCATGAGATACTCAATATTCTTCACCAACACCACAATTCAAATGCATCATTCTTCTTCAGTCTTCCTTATTCACTTCCAACTTTCACATGAATATAAGACTATCGAAAACATAATGGTACACCTTAGCTTTCAAAATGACATCTTTGCTCTTTTCTTTAACACTTTAAAGAAGTCTTTTGCAGATTTTCCCAATGCAATACATCATTTGGTTTTTTGACTGCTGCTTCAATGGGCATGGATTGTGAATTCAAGTAAAATGAAATCCTTGACAATGTCAATCTTTTCTCAGTTTATCATGATGTTACTTATCGATCCAGCTGTGAGAATTGTTTTTTCTTTATGTTGATATAATCCATACCGAAGGCTGTAGTCTTTGATCTTCATCAGTTAGTGTTTTGAGTCTTCTTCACTTTCAGCAAGCAAGGTTGTGTCACCTGCGTATTGCAGGTTGTTAATGAGTCTTCCTCCAATCCTGATGTGTTCTTCTTCATATAGTCCAGCATCTTGGATTACAGGCTAGAAACCCTGTGGAGCAATTGTACTCTCCAATACGTGGGTCACCATGAGTTGGGGTGACTGCACATTGCTTGGTGGTGGTGGTGGTGGACATCTCATGAACTCATGTCTGGAGAGAGTGAAGAACTGTAAACCACCAGAGAGCTAGGAAGTCCCATGATTGTCAAAGGAAAGAGATGGTTAACTGCTCAAGTCAAGGGCATTGCTAGCCTCATTCTTGATGAGACCAGAACAATTAAATAGGTTTTGTCAACACTGACTCATACTGTCCTGCTTCAAAAAATGCAAACTGGCTTCTAGATACAGTAGTTCTTTAGGTGGGCTCGAAAATCTTGAATCCTCTTTTTCCTATTTCCATTCTTGATAGAGTGTAGTTTAAGGATTTTATTGGTCTTATGAAATTCTTGGTTCTTTGAGGAAAGGATAAATCAAGATCTAACTATAAAGGCATTGGCCAAATGGGAGGGGAAGGGGGACAGGCTTTGTGAATATAATGCCCTTGGAACAGAGCACTTCCTGTTCTCACTGGGATATTCAGGTGTGGACAACTTCACAAACCCCTAATTGAGCAATGTCTCATCTTTGTTCTCAAAACATTCAACTTCCAACGTGATTCATTTACCTGAGTTTACACTACAAATGCTGGCAGAGCTATTGTGGAATGAAGCCTTCTCATTCCAGAGAGATAGATAGGGAGATAGATAAAGAGATGGAGATGGATAGATGGACAGCTGTTGTCAAGTTGGCTCCAATTCATGGTGACCTTATGTGCGATAGAACAAAAGGTCAGCTGGCCCTGCGTCATCCTCAAAATTGCTGGCATGTTTGAGTCCATCCTTGAGGCTATTGTGCCAATTTATCTCCCTGAGGGTCCCCCCTTGCCCTCGCGGGCCCTCTGCTTTGGTGAAACATGACATCCTCCTCAGCAACTGGTCCCTCCTCATACATCCAAAGCAAGTGAGTTGGACAATGCTCTGTTGTGATCCATAGGGTTTTCACTGGCTAATTTTTGGAAGCAGATCTCCAGACCTTTCTTCCTAGTCTGGCTTAGTCTGAAAGCTCTGTTGAAACCTGTCCACTAGGGGTGACCCTGCTGGTGTTTGAAATAGCATAGCTTCCAGTGTCACAGCAACATGTAAGCCACCACTGTATGACAAACTGACAGATGGTGGTGGCCATTTCAGGAAGAGGTAAGCAAATGATGTCATTGAGAGGATTTGTCAACCAAGTGTTGGTATTGGGTTCCAGAATGAGATCTAACCCTCACTCATTGCAGTTTCAATTCTGTGACAATGGGAGTGACAATTCTGTCAATTCCATGACAATGGGATCCAAGGGCACCCCCTTGTTCAAGGTTGTGGTAAATAAATTAGTCCCTGGCCATGTGGACTTGGCCACCTTGTCCTCTGGGTAGAAAGGAGTTCCACCTGTTCAGAGAGAGCTTTGTCCAGACATCTCCAAGCACATTGAGATGCTTCATTTACATTGAAATGTAACCAGTTCCTTCTATGAAAAAGAAGGAACTTTGCAATGTCTAAGTTCGAACTGACCTGTATTACTTTTATTTCAAAGTTTTCAAGATAGAGCTAACTCCCTGTGGCACAGACCTTGCAGGCTCCAGAATACAGCCAAATCACAGGCACATCGAGATGAAATTCTAACCTTAGCTGCTTTTGAGTCTCCATGGAGATGCTCTTAAGTTGTTTCTATCATGAGCGGGTGGTATTTGATGCTTGGCCAATCCCATCTGGTAGACAACCTCACGGCCTCTACTTGTTCTGTTTCTGATTGACAGCTAAGTACTGTTGGCCCTCTGTATCTGTGGAGTCCACATCTGCAGATTCAACCACCTGTGGATCAAAAAGATGTGGGGGAAAAAAATTCTAGAAAGCTCCAAAAGGCAGAGAGTGCATTTGTCATGCACAGAGCACTGCACTGAATCCACTGGATGAAGTGATTGTAGGCGCACCCTGCTGTAGCCTCCCACCGTGTCCAGATCCTGTCTCTCAGGCACGCTGTTCAAGCACTGTTTGGCATTAGTTAGTTGTGTTCTGTGCACCCTTTGTTTCTATGAAAAAATAGCTCCTAAAAAACAATTAAGTATCAAAGCAATCAGCAAAGGCTAAGGAGGAGCACAAAGTGCTATTTACATAGCATCTGTATTATACTGAGTATTATAAGTAATCCAGGAATGGTTTTAAGTATGTGGGAGGATGTGTGTAGGTTTTATGCAAATACTATGCCATTTTATATAAGGGACTTGAACACCCACGGATTTTGGTACCTGTGAGGGTCCTGGAACCAATCCCCCCTAGACACTGAGGGACGCTTCCTCGGGGATGCCCGGAATTCAATGCTCTGACAGGTGTCACTTGGTGGGCTTTCTTTGCAGGTGGCGAACATCTTACTGAACGGCGTGAAGTACGAGAGCGAGCTGACCGGCTCCAGCGAGCAGTCAGAGCAGCCGCTGTCCATGAGGCGCCTCTGTTCCACCATCTGCAACATGCCCAAGGCGCTCCGCAACCTCTGTGTCAACCACTTCCTGGGTGAGCTCCCAGCAAAGCCCCCCCTGTGTGTCCGTGTCCCAGGTGCTGCGTGCTGGGGATGGGGCCACCTGACCCAGGATTCTCTTCCTCACTGGCCTCCCAAGACGCCCCAAAGCCTCAGTTCACAGGGGCGTCTCTGCAAAGGAAGTTCTCTCCTGAAAGGGCATGGAAGCCATTGGTTTAGCCACCCAACCCCCTCTGTGGGCTTTGGGGTGGTGCCCACACTAGAAGACAGCCCCACCGAGGCCTTTTCTCCAGGAAGGGGCAGCTCCAAATTAAACCAGGCGTTACCTGGCCCGACACCTGAGTCTATGTTGTTGTTAGTTGCTGTAGTGTTGGCTCTCACTCAAGGTGACCCCATATACAACAGAACAAAACATTGCCCAGTCCTGCCCCAACTTCATAATTGTTAGTGTGCCTGTGTCCACTGTTGCAGCTTTTGTGTAGTGCCAACTAGGGGGCTCACCTCCCAGCACTATTGGATAATATTCTGTTGTCATGCATTGGGGTTTTATTGGCTAATTTTCAGAAATAGATCACCAGATCTTTCTTCCTAGTCTGTCTTGGTCTGGAAACTCTGCTGAAACCTGCCCACCCTGGGTGACTCTGCTGGTATTTGAAATACCAGCGGCATACCTTCCTGCATCATAGCAACACATAAACCACTACAGCATGACCAACTGACAGATGGGTGATGGGTATCAACATCCGGGCTTCCTGATATCTATCTCCCAATTTAACGGATCCGCACATAGGTGGCGCACCACAGGTCTTCTCTTGGCCCTTGCAGAGAAAGAGAGAGTGGGGAGCAGGGTGAGGCATTGGGAAAGAGGAACGGGGCTTAGCTCCTGTCTTAGCAGTAACGCTTGGAGAAAGTGCAGTGTGCAAAACCTTCCTGCAGCAGAGCTTGTATTTATACAAATACACATTTATTTTTAAAAAAGACAAAGGAAATCTACAAACATAGTAACAGATGCTACCTCTGGGTGCTGCTGCTCAGTGTAATTTAAATTTTCTTATAATTTTTATAACTACAGAAATTACTCGTTACTCTCATAACTGGGCTGCCTCAGAAACCCAAGGAGGGGTCGCTATGAGTCGGGTCCCACTCGAGGGCACATAACAACAACAACAATATAGTAAGAGGTGGCACAAACGGTTAAGTGCTTGACCACTAACCAAAAGGTTGATGATTCAAACCCACACAGAGGCACCTCAGAAGACAGGCCTGGTGGGTGATCTGCTTCCGAAAAGTAACAGCCTTGCAAACCCCATAGGGCACAGTTTTACTCCACACACATAGGGTCGCCTGAGTCAGAACTGGATGGCGGGCAAAGAGTCAAAGCATTGTTGGTTAGAGGGAAGGCCGAGGTACAGCACCTGCGGCCAGAGCTCGCTCACTCATTCTCTTCTCTGCTCAGGGTGGCTCTCGTTCGAGGGGATGCTGCTCTTCTACACGGACTTCATGGGCGAGGTAGTGTTTCAGGGGAACCCCAAGGCCCCACACACGTCGGAAGAATATCAAAAGTACAACAGCGGCGTCACCATGGGCTGCTGGGGAATGTGCATCTACGCCTTCAGCGCCGCCTTCTACTCAGGTACCTGGAGCTCGGGCAAGGTGTGGGCCTGGCTTCTTTGGGGGTGCTGCCCTCTAGTGGGCCATTGGAGTACGTCCACGGAGGACGGTTTGCATCACTACTCGTGTTAGTTGCTGTCCAATTGATTCCGCTTCATGGTGACCCCATGTGTGCAGAGTTTTCAAGGCTGTGACCTTTTGGAAGCAGATCACCACGTCTTTCTCCCACGGCCCCTGGGTGCGTTCAAGCCAGCCACCATTTTGGCCAGCAATCAAATGCTTAAACTCTGTGCCACTCAAGGACTCCTGCTACAATGTTGTTGTTATGGCAGTGGAGTTGCACCCGATTCATAGCGACCCCTCCTTGGGTTTCCAAGGCGGTATTACTACGGAAGTAGATCGCCCAATCTTCCTTCTGGGGAGTGGCTGGTGAGTTTGAACCGCCAGCCTTCTGGTTAGCAGTGAAGTGCCTTAGGCACTACGCTACCAGAGCTCCTTCATTTGGTGACACTGCTGTTTCTCTGTCACTGAGCAACCTCTGAGGGCCTGCTGGATACACAGCTCCATGCTGGGTGGTGGGGGCAGGGTGTGCAGGGGTGGGTCCTGTGAGCATCAGCACCGCCAAGAACTAGGGGCCTTGCAGGAGGACCAGGGAAGTGTCTAGAACACCGAGCAGAGAGAACACAGTAGGGGCCCCAGGGACAGACCAGGAGATCACTCACCGGGCAGCACCCCAGATGCATCGCATGCAGCAGCTGGTCCAGAGAGAGGTGGAGCTTGAAGGTGAGAATGGGGGACAGGTGGGGCAAGAGTGCTGTACCCAGATAATCAAGACAACAGGGATGGGGAGGGTCCAGAGTCCGAGTTGACTCTGAGCTTTGGGGCCCAGGCGGCCCATGGGGCTTTAACAGCACCAGGGACCTAGGAGGGGGTGTGACTTCACACTGGGACATGGGGTGCCAATCCAGTGGGGAACTTGGCTAGGAGATAAAACAGGTAAATCTTATTTCAGAAGTCGACCCACTTTTTCTGTAAAGGGCCAGATGGTGGATGTTTTTGGCTTTGTGGGACACACGGTGTCTGTCCCAACTACTGGGTCACTGCAGTGTGAAAGCAGCCACAGATAGCACATCACGAACAGGGGGTGGCTGCAGTCCTTCAAGACTGCGTTGATGACTTTCATGTCATTTTCACGTGCTTTAACTATTCTTTTGCTTTTTTCCAATGACTTAAAACTTTCCCATGGAAACTTTTCTTAGCTCATGGGCCATGCAAACACAGGTTTGTCCTGTGAGCGGCGGTTTGCCAAGCCCAGTTCAGTTTTAGTGAATTCAGGCCCCCCAGCACAGGGAAGCAGAATGAGGACTTGCGTTCAGGGGTCGAGGCAGCATATTCAAGGATTTGTTGGGTCTCGTTGAACTCTGCTGGTGGGTCGGCACCTGAAGGTTTTCGGCTCTTCTGCAGCTGGAGTGGGATCTCTGGGTGGTGCAAATGGTGAGCATGCCCAGTGGCTAACTGAAGGTTGGAGGTTCAAGTCTACCCAGAGAAATCTTGGAAGAAATGCCTGGTCACCTACTTCTAAAAAGTCAGCTGTTGGAAACCATGTGGTCACGAGTTGGAATAGCCCTATGGCAACTGGTTATAGCTGGGGTGGATCAGAAATGACTCATTTTGTTTGGTCGTGGAAAGCAATAGCATCTGGGCCTCACAGTGGTCATAAGGATGACGGCTGGCCCCACAGTGGGTGGTTGGGGTCCCTGTTTTTGGTAAGAGACAGAGAGCTTCAGACTCCTCCCAGAAGATGGAGCCTTAGCTCAAACCTCTAAATTCCTCAGCCTCTTTGGTGTTTCAGCCCCAAGACCCCTGTAAGGATGAAGATACCCCAGGTTCTGTCATCCACCTGGAAAGCCCTGTCCTGGGCTTCCCCCTGCAGCCACCGGGGGTCCCTCAGCCCAGTCCCAGGCTCCTCCAGCAGGTGCTGTGGTTCAAGGAGAGTGGTGTGCCGTTTCCCACCCCTCTGGCCCTGGGGTCGGCCCCGGGGCAGGGGGCCTTGTCCCTGGGCGCTGAGGCGGCTCACTCCCCGTCCTCCTGCAGCCGTCCTGGAGAAGCTGGAGGAGCACCTGAGCATCCGCACGCTCTACTTCATTGCCTACCTCGCCTTCGGCCTGGGCACCGGGCTGGCGACCCTCTCTCGGAACCTCTATGTGGTCCTGTCCCTGTGTATCACCTACGGGGTTCTGTTCTCCACCCTCTGCACCCTGCCCTACTCGCTCCTCTGTGACTACTACCAGAGCAAGAAGGTAGGCACCCTCTCTTCTCTGCTTCCATCCATGAAAAGTTGCCTTCACAGAGCACATTCCACCCAGAACGTGTCCCCTGGAGCCACCTACATAATCCACAGGGCCCTGGGCCAGACGAAAACATGGAGGGGAGGGTTTCTTGTTCCATAATTACTAAGAATTTCAACAACAGACCATTAAACAGGGGCCAGAGCTTCTGGGGGCTGGGTCCTGTGTGACTGTCCAGAGACCAGCCCTGACATCCCCTCTTACCTTGCTTCCTTGGCAAGCACCTTCTCCAGGCCATGCGCCCCTTTGGTGGCAGCTGCTTGGTTTTCAGGGAAACTGGGAGGTGGGGAGAGTGGAGGGAAGGCCCACCCACCTTTGTTTCCTCTCTGTTGGGTTACCTGTTAGCTCAGGTCCAAGCAATTGAGGGCCTAGGGTGAGGCAGGTGAGGCACTCATCCCAGGCACAGAAAAGCTCAGTCATCATGATCAGTAATGGGTGGATGCAAGTTTTTTAAATCAAAATGAATGTCAGACATCCACAATGAAGCAAATACCAACATTTTCAAGGACAAGATTGGTAACAGCGATGTGGAGCCAGATCAGAGTTTGAGGCAAAGGATAAATCAGGAACTGTGATCTTTATTTAAAATACTGCTGTTTGGCTCATCATGGATGTTTCTCTTAACAGCTCTTTTGAGAGAATTCACAGCCATGAAGTCCACAGCTCAGTGGTTGTCAGTGCCGAGCAGCCATCAGCACAATCAATTTTAGAACGTTGTTGTCACCCCACAAACCATCTGCACCCATTAGCTGTCTTCTCTGTCTCCTCCTCAGACCCCGAGCCCCTAGGCAGTCAGTCATCTGCTGTCTATCTCTGTGGACTTGTCTGTTCTGGGTGTTGGTGTTAGCGGCTGGCGAGTTGTTGTTAGGGGCCAGAGAGTCGATTTCAACGCACAGTGACCCCATGTGACAGAGTAGAACTGCCCCATAGGGATTTTTTGCCTGTGATCTCTACAGGAGCAGATTGCCAGATGTTTTTTCCCCGCAGAGCCACTGGGTGGGTTCAAACCATCAACCTTTCAGTTTGCAGCTGAGTGCTTCATTGTTGTGCTACCAGGGCTCCTTCCTATTCTGGCTGTTTCATGTGAAAAACAAAAACCAAACTCACTGCCATCGAGTCAGAGCCGACTCATAGTGACCTGTCCTTGGGTTTCTGAGGCGGTATCACTATAGAAGTAGATTACCCAACCTTCCTTCTGAGGAGTGGCCGGTGGGTTTGAACCACCAGCCCTCTGGTTAGCAGTCAGGTGCCATAGGCACTACGCCACCAGAGCTCCTGTGAATGGAACCATGCAATATGTGCTCTTTTGTGTCCAGCTCATTCACTTAGCATAAGTCTTTAAGTATTTAATGTTTGTCATTTTTATTAGAATCTTATTTCTCTTTATGGGCAAGTAACATTCCCATCATAGATTTTCTGCAGTAATTTGGATAACTGAAAATACTGCACTAAAACATCATCTTGATTACTGAATTTGGGGCATCCCTTTACTGCTGTGCCCCAGGCTGGCCTGTGGAGCATGTCCATATTTAGTAAGCAGTTCACAGTCTCTGACAAATTCAGCTGAGCTCACCATTTTGCATGAAAAATAAACTTGGCAGAGTTAACACACTTGGCTGCTAACCCAAAGGTTGGAGACTCAATTCCACCCAGAGGCCGCTCAGAAGACAGGTCTGGCAACCACTTCCAAAAACTCAGCCATTGAAAACCCTGCGAGCACAATTCTACTCCGACACACACGGGGTTCGCCAGGAGCCTGGGTGGAGCTGAGGGCAGCTGGTTGGTTGTAGGCATCATGGCTGATAGAGGTTTCTTAAAGGGGTGAACGGGAACCCAAAGTAGCCATCTGGCAGGGCAGACTGTTTTTCTTGTAGGTGCAAGTGAAGGGAAAAAAATCCCCAAACACTCCTAGCTGGGACCTGGCAGAGCCTGTGCTCCCACCCAGTCATGGATTCTTTCGATTGCCATCATCCCTCTAAACACAAATATTATTAAACTCTTGGCTGAACGCCCTGTATGCGTCGGCCCTGGAAAATGTGAACTCGTTGTGCGTGGGCTGCTCCTCCTGGGCCTGCAGGAGACGCGGGCTTGGGTACATCGAGGCGAGTCTGGTGGCGGCCGGGGTGGCTCCTGCTGACACGACTCTTTTGACTCAAGTTTGCAGGGTCCAGCGCAGATGGCACCAAGCGGGGCATGGGCGTGGACATCTCCCTGCTGAGTTGCCAATACTTCCTGGCCCAGATTCTGGTCTCCCTGGTCCTGGGACCCCTGACTTCAGCTGTGGGCAGCGCCAACGGTGTGATGTATTTCTCCAGCCTCATGTCCTTCCTCGGCTGCCTGTACTCCTCCCTGTTCGTCATTTATGAGATCCCTCCCGGTGACGCTGCAGATGAGGAGCACCGGCCCCTCCTTCTGAATGTGTGACACGCCCCCTCCCACCCCAGCCCCAATCTGGACTCAGGCCTATGCCGGGTGTCAGGAGCAGGCCCAGCGGGGAAAGACCCAGCCACCCTGGTGGGCAGGGAGATGGGTTTCATGTTTGATGTAAATATGTGATACAACAATAAACGACAGCAGCAAAGCTGTGATGTCTAGTCGTGGCTCTCCTGGGGGGATGCTCCATGGGGAGCTGTGGGAGACGGTTGTAAGAATCATTTATTGAAAGAAAAGGGCTAATACAGTGACTCTCCCATGGGACCAGCTTTGCCACCCCCCAGAAGACTTTTGGCAGTGTGTGAAAGGAGTTTTGGTTTTTACAAGTCCAGGTCGGGGAAAGCAGTGCTACTAGCCAGCAATGGTGCTAGATACTTTACAGTGCACAGGCCTGCTCCCACAGCAAAGCATAATCTAGCCCCAAATGTTGATAAATGCTGAGATGCAGAGATCCTGTACTTTGCTTCCTGATGGTAGATTAGGGCATACAATGCTTATGGGACAGAAGGCCTCATATTCACTCAGTCACTGATTCACTCATCCACCCAACCTCTCATCCATCCACCCTCCATCTATCCACCCACCACCACTCATCCAGCCACCATCCATCCACCCATCAACCATCCATACATTTATCCCCCTACCACCCTTCCACCTAGACCCTTCCACCCTACAGACATCTGTCCCAGTGTGTGCCTGGTACTGCTTGGTGCCGAGTACCTGCTCCCATGGAGCTGCCATAGGAGCGGGAGAGAGAGATGCTACGCTGGCGGTTCTGTGACTGAAGATGGCAGTAAGCACTATGGACATAAGCAGGACAGGAGGAAGGCGTGAGAGGCCAGAGAGCAGGGCTATCCTCGGGAGAATGACCAGGATAGCTTCTCTGAGGCCATCTGAGCAGTGGCCTGAGGCACCTAGGGAGTGGTATCTGAGGTGGCAACATGCCTGATGCATGTGAAGGATGGCAGAAACCACAATGTGCAGATCGTAAAATGCCCCATAAAGTAGGAACACGCAGCCGAATGGCATCTGTGTCAACACTCATCCTGCCCTCTGACTCGATGGGGCAAGGACTTAGAGTGAGAAGATGGAGGTCAGGGAAGAGCCCATACTTTTCCCTCCACCATCCATCATTCATTTCATAGATGCATAACAAGTACCTACTGTGCACAGGCACCAGCTGGATCCAAGGGGGACATACAGACTCACACCTGCCTTCCAGACCCTACTGTGTGCAGGCACCCACTGGACCTGGAATGCAGGGGGACATATGGACCCTCACCCACCTTCCAGCCAATCCTGTGCACAGGTGCCCTTCTTGAGACCAACACCTGCCCCCGTGGCCCATTTATGGACTTAGATGAAGCTCAGACTTCTCATGGGCTTCAAAGCCTCTGAAAGGCCTTCACTAACCTCTGTTACTTGACACCCCAGCTGAGGCCCCATCCTGGGTGTGTCTGGGTGGATGTGGTTATCGACGGCTGTCCCAGGAACAAGGCTGTGATGACAAGATGGTGGCCCAAGCCACTGTGTGCCTGCAGTCCTGGAATTCGGCCTGGCATGGAATTGGTGATGACCTCAGGGCCTGTGATTCATATCCCCAAGTTTGGGGGACATAGAGAACACTCTCAATGCCAAGTTCAAAGCAAGCAATAGGGGCCCTGGACCCATCACCAGCCTCAGAGGAGTGTCCAGGGTTGATGGCAAGGAGTTTGCCCCATTCTCTGCTCTGTGACCAGGAGGGCCAGTTGGGCAGGAGAACTATGAGCCTTCTGTGGGGTACTTCACCACCTCCCACTTCAGCCACGGTCTCTTTACTTCAGCTATGGCCTCCTCACTTGTCCTACAGTCTCTCGCCTGGGCCATGGGCTGCCCACCTGGGCCTCAATCTCCACACCTCATCCATGAATTCCTCACCTAGGCCACGGTCTCCTCCTCAGTGCTCTCCTGCTCTCCTCATTAAGCCAAGATGGTCCTGCAGAGTCACTGGGACCCAGGCCACTCCTCTCTATCCCCCTGCCCTTGTCCAGGGTCCCTGCCCATTCTTTGCCTCTAGCCAGTCCTTGCCAACCACCCTCCACCATGCATTCCTATACTTTCCATAGCTCATCAGATCTAAACTTCTCGTGCCGTACCTGAGCCTGTCCTTCCAGCCCAGCCTCCTCCATCTCCTGTGTCTATACTGCAGCCCTGCCTCCTCAGGGGCCATGGCTTCCATCTCTACTCTATCAATATCTGATCCATCCATTAAAAAAAAAGGAAGAAAACCTCACTGTTGTGGAGTGTTTTCCTTTCCAACTCATAGCAACCCCTCCTGGAGTTTCTGAGGCCGTATCACTACAGAAGTAGATTGCCCAACCATCCTTCTGAGGAGTGGCAGGTGGGTTTGAACTGCCAGCCTTCTGTTTAGCAGTCAAATGCCTTAGGCACTACACCACCAGAGCTCCCATCCATCTAGACCTGCTTAAAATGTCCATGGAAGCAACAGTCAATAATCAAACGATGTATTGCATTGGACAAATCTGAAGTAAAAGACCTTTTTTAAAATGTTAAAGATCACAAGATATCACCTTGAGGACTAAGTTGTGCCTGACCCACATCATGGTATTTTCAATCACCTCTTATGCATGTGAAAGCTGGACAATGAATAAGTTAGACCATATAAGAATTGATGCATTTGAATTGTGGTGGTGAAGAATATTGAATATAGTGCCATCTGGGCTGCCAGAAGAATGAACAAATCTGTCCTGGAAGAAGTATAGCTGGAACGCTCCTTAGAAGGATGACGAGACTCCAGCTCATGTACTTTGGATATGTTATATGCTTGGTAAAGCAGAGTGTCCGTGAATAAGAGGTGTCCCTCAACAAGATGGACTGATAATAGAGGCTCCAACAAAGGGTTCAAGCATAGCAGTGATTGTGAGGATGGTGCAAGACCAGGCAGTGCTTCATTCTGTTGTACACATGGTTACTATGAGCTGGAACTGACTCAATGGTACCAACAACAAAACACCACGCCCTCTGCACAGCCCCTCCTGGTTGGAATCCATGAGTTCTCTTCCTGCACTTTCATGCCATGTCATTTCGCCTTTGTAGCTATGAGCTAAGTGAGGTTACAAGCCAAGTGGGGAAGCACACCAAGTGAGGCAGTCTTGAGGTCCCGCTTCATGTGAAGGTGAAGCATTCAATGACTTCCCAAAGTCACAAAGCTCCTTTGTGGCCTCCGTGGGCTAGAATCCAGCCCCAGGACTTTAGTTCAGTGCTTCCTCTGGGACCTCAGACCTGCTCACTCCACAGCTAAATTGCTTAGAAAGGCTTCAGCTTTTCTGGAAAATGTGGTGTTGGATGGCTGTCCTCTGGCCTGGCTAGTTTTGTCCACAATTGCTCAAACCTGTGAGAGATAAATAGGCTCCTTTTTTTTTTTTTTTTTTTTGGCTTGTTAACCCAGGCTCCTTTTTCTAGAACTTCCTAAGTAAACAAAGTTGCTTTCACATGTGGGAATAGCTGTTCTCGATCTCTCTTTTCTAAGACTCTGCCCTGTGTCAGGCACCATGCGGGGCACGTGGGCAGGCCGCCCCAGCCAGCTCAGGCTTCTCTTCTAGCTCCCAAAAGCAGCGTTGAACTTCAAGTGTCTTCCCACCAGATGGCAGTAGGAACCAAGCCTCAGAATCCAAACTGCCTGGCCCAGGATGGAACAGCCACATCCTTTTGTCTTCCACAGCTCAAAAACTCGATTTTTTGACAAAATTACTTTAAAACCGAACTACGTGGATGAGAATCATCACAGCTCCTTGTTGTGTAGGAGGTCCTCACTACCTACCTCTCACAATGAGCTGAACACTTCTCATGACCACCCTCTTGTTGTGTGTGCCATGAACCTATTCTGATTCAGCAATCCCGTGTGACAGAGGCCAATTGCTCCACAGGGTTTCCTAGGCTGTTCTCTTTACTGGAGGCAGATTGCTAGGTCTTTTCTCCCATAGAGTGGCTGATGGGTTCGAACCATCGATCTTTCAGTTGAGAGCTGAGAGCTTAACCACTGTGCCACCAGGTTTCCCTGCGACCATCCTAGGAAGGTGGAACATTACCCCAATTACAGATGTGAAGCCTGAGAAAGCTCAAGTACCTGGCCCAGGTCACACAGCCTGTAGGTGGTGGAGCTGGGATTTGAACCTGGGGCATCTGACTCTAGACCTCGCCATGCTAAAAATCTTCAGGGAACCCATGTTGAAACCCACTGAAGGCCCTTGAAGGCGGGGACCCTCTGCTCCCATGTCCTGGCCACTGTGCCACTCACATGGCTGCTGGGACCTCACTGGGAACTCAGCTCCGAAGAGGCTCCTCATTCCATTCAGAGGAGGGAGGGAGAGAAAGCCTGTGACTCGTGGTTCAGTGACCACAAGACACCCTCTCAGCTCAAAACAAAAACTGTGGTGCCGAATTCGGAAGCCACTCCTGACTTTTCCCCTCAGCCGACCTGACAACCGCTCCTCCATGCTTCTTGGACATGAGCACACCCAGCTGCCTCTGGATGCCGGGTGATGCTGGAGGTGGGACAGGAGGGCTCTACCGTGAGATCACAGCCCTTGTCAGGTTGTTTCTGTCTTCTGAGACTGTTGTTGGCCTAACCCTGAGCCACCCTTGGGACACTAGGAACTGGGTGAGGGGTGTCCCACCAGCACGCTTCCCATTTGGCTGCATTTTCCAAGGTAATGGAGATCATTCCCTTTGAACATACTAGAACCGGCAGCTGCCTGGGCCCACAGAGCCAAGTCAGGAGCCTTGGGTTTTTTTCCTGCACTTAGGATCCACACGGTGTGGTCCATCCCCATCACTGACTGTAAGCAGGTTCTGAGAAGAGTTGAGTGCCCCTTCTGGGGAGACTTGGAAAGTAGCAGATGTCGGGATTGGGGGCACATGAGACCTCGGATAAGCCCATCATAGCTGCTCAGGGGACGTTTTCTGGGAGCTCTGGGGCTAGGTTCTTAGAACTCATCCACTGCTGAGAAAATCCACTTAATGAACATTTACTGAGCGCCTACTGTATATGTCCCAGGCACTGGTCAGGCGCTGGAGAGACAGCAAAGAATCCCCGTCTTTGAGACAAAGTCTTTGTCCTTCTAGTAACACCTGCACCTGACCTACAACCTCTGGGCTTCACTCCCCAGCGTACCCACCACTTGGACTGCTGGGCCCCCTGTGGCCTCTAGGTCCCACCCTCTCTCCACTGCCATCTCTGCACCCCTGTGCTTGCCATGATCTTCATCCTCCACAAAATGTCCCCAGTCACCTCTTACAAAGTATTTGTTGTCATAGGCACAGGCCTTCTTCCTTAGGTCATCTGAGGGGACTGACTTGTACCAGTTGCCTGAGGGCAGAGGGAGGGAGGGAGCCTGGGCCTCGTCTGTTTTCGCAACCGTTGCCACCTGGTGGCCAGGATGAGAACAGGGTGTTTCAAACCGTGTTTGGAAGCCTCAGCGGCAGTATGGTCCCTCTCAATGAATAAGGAGAGTGGAGGGGACTGAGCATGACAACCGGTGACCAGGCTCATAGAAAATAGGCCCCTGAACAGCTCAACAGCTTCAGGGTTCTCCCAGGGCCAAGTAAGTCTTCTAAGTAGTATCGTAACATTCTATTTTCCATGTGGCCCACAAGCTATAAAGCTAATTTTCCCCAAAACTTCCAAGAATGTTTTAAAGCAGGCTGAAGGCAGGTCTTGAGAGACACTAAAGTGGTGAGCACAGCAGGGGAGGGAGGCAGAGGGCACCAAGATGAGGAGAGAGACTTGAAGGAGGGCAGAGAGAGGTTACCTCATGCCACACAGACGGTGTCTGAATTCCCGGGAAGTATTTGCTCACACAATCTGGATTAGGCTAAAAGGCCCTTGCTAACTGGTCATTCATGCCTATGACCTGACCGTACATCTGCACCATGTCACCAGGGAGCCTTTCTCTGCAGGGCCCCTTTATTCATTCATTCAACAAATACTAACCGAGCAAATGCTTTCCCCATTCTAGAACCTGGTCTAGTAACGAGGTGTCCAGGGCAAGGGGAGCCAGGAGGCCCCTACAGATAGCAGACATGGAGCTGGGTTGGGGGACATGGGGACAGCTTTTGCAGCCTGGGTCCCTGATATGCCAAAAGGACACCATACAATTACAGGAGACTTGAAAGCACCTCCTGTCAGACTGCTTCTCAAGAAGTCACACTGGGGGAAAGCAGAGAACCATCACCCAGCACTGCCAGAACTCCCGGGGCAGCTGGGAAGCTGGCAAGGGCCCAGGGAGATGACAATTCTGACATGGAGACCTCCAAGGACCAACAAAGCCATGCAGGACAGAAGGCAGCAAAGGCACTTGAATGCTAGGCCAAGCACGTGGTAGGGACTGGGCAGGGCTACAGCAAAGGCCGGCGGGACCCAGACAGCATCACGGGTCACATGCATGGTGGAACATAAAGCTCCTGCCGCCCAACTTCCACCAGGTGACCCAGGTAACCAGAAAGGCTCGCTTTATGATGCCACCTGAGTCAGTCGTGGGACCGTGTCTGCTCTTCTTGTGTGTCTGCTGGGGAGTTCTAATTGTACCCCTCTACAGTGAGAATTTTGGGGGTCTGGAAGATACGTGTGTGTGGGAGGTCACCGCTCAGCTCTCTGCTGGGCATCCTTACCCTTTGGGTAAGTGACTCTGATTTGTCCAGGTAGTCCTCTGCCATGGATGTCTGTCAATACAGCAGCCATGCAGCTGGCTACACTCTCAAATGCTGCTGACATCCCTATTAAATGCCATTTTCCCCATGCATGCTGCAGAATGGCTCAAGCTATGCCAAGCTGCAGTTTCATTTACACAAATAAGGGGCAGAGCAGCACACAGGTGCCCGTTCATGGGGGTAGTGCAGAGGTGAGGGCCTGGTTGGGGCCACAGTTGCTAAGTAACAGCACCCTCCACCCTCATCAGTGGAGCACATCCAGCGAACACACTTTTAGTGCTTCCTCCATGACAGGCCCTGTTCCTCAGGAGTGTATGGCAGAGTGGTGACAATGGCCAGTTGCCACATACCTGAGAAACTATTGCCCCTTAGCCAGCTCTGAGGTCCTTTCCTGCAGCATACATACCCATTCACAAGACACTGTTCTTGTCATTTAGCTTTCCTGGAATATGTTATTGCCCATTACAAACTGTAGTTTCATAAAGAGCATGGTCCAGATGAGAAACCAGCAAAGACGTACCCGAGACCCATCCATGAGCCCTCCCCTGTGCACCCACCAACTCTACAACCCTCTGCTTCCACACCCAGACTGACAGCCACGTGTCACCAGGGCCAGTCTGCCGAATGGCATCTTATTGTGGCCCTTTGTTCTTCCCATCACTGAAGCTTCTGAGCAGGATTCTGGTTGGTTGAGGACACAGGATGTCTCCCAATGTGTATGCCACTCAATGCGTATGCCACTTGGGGCCCTCTGTTTAGCAAAGCTTTTTCATGCCCTGGACTGGCAGTGCCTGTTCCCAAACCTTTACTTGTGTATTGCACACCCTGCCAGAGTGCAGGTTACCAAGAGTCCTTGGTCACTCTTGCCTCATCTCCCAAACATCTAGAAGCTATGGCAATACGCCAGACAATGAATCCTTTGGGCATAATCTTGATGCTTTGGGAAACCGTCCTGGACAGTTTGCAAAACCACTGCATGAAGCCGTTCTGATGCACGCTGCCATCCGTGGCCACATCCAGCCTTGCATGCAGCCTGCTGTACCTTCAGTGGGTAAGATCCTCTCAGGGGCTGGAATGCATCTTCAACCCGGAGGGCAAACCTAAGCAGAGGGTGTGGCAGGAGACACTAGAGGTTTTAAGGAGCAGAAAAGGGCACAACGAAGGAGGCACAGCCAGGAAAAAGAGGAAGCCTCTCCTGAGCAGGGAAGGAGCTCCATGCCCATAACCCTTGGAGGGAATCCCCCACCAACTGCAGAGGTGTGGAGTTGCATCAGGGGTAGAGAGGGACCTAGGAGATGACAGGAGATGGTGCTCTTAGGCCCATCCTGAGACCCTTCCTCTGAGACATCGCAGACATGGACCTTTCTGGAAGCCACTCTGGGAGGCAAGCAGTATGCTGGCAACACACTGTCCCTGCCCCTTTCCCCCCCGGGGAACAGGTAGGGGCAAAATCCGACCTCCCACCCACAATCCAGGAATGAGACACAGTTATTGGTAAACACCCAGGTGATGTAGTGTAGCTTGGTTTTATTTATGTCCACAAATATTTCAAAAAAATTACAAAATACTCAAATGGAGAGAACACAGAAGTCACAATTTCTGGGTGTCTACTCTGTTTACACTGTGTCATCTCATGGCAAACTACTCATATATACATTTAGCTTCAGATATATATAAACGCAGCAAACCAGACGCAGGCTCTGCTCTGCTGCTGCTGCAGTGGAACGTGAAGCTCAACCTCGACGACACTGAACAAGATACATACGAAACACAGAAAAGCCAACGCAAAACTTCAAACGGAAGAAGGAAAACCCAAAAGGAAACCAAACGTCGGGGCTGAAAGACACTGAGGGTCTGGAGCCATCCTCAACAACTGCAGATGATCAAGGGAGGGATCCGGGTTTGGACTTTGTAAATGGAAGAATCTCAGTGCTTTACCTTGGGATATGGAGAGAAAAACAAAACCTAACAAGAAAACATCTTCATATAGTTTTCAAGTACAGACTGCAGAGAACATGACTCTCTCTCTTCTTTGGGAAAATTGGATGCTGGAGAGAGGAGGTAATGAGGGTCTAAAGGAGTGGCAGCCCTTGTACTCTACCAAAAAAGAATGAGAGAGACGGGACAGGTGGTGGGTGGTGACGGCACAGGAGCTGTGGGGACGGACGTGCTTTGCCGCCCAGAGCCCTGCGTGGTGCCTTCTCAGTCAGAGCAGCAGCGGCCTTGACCTCCCTGATGGCCACCACCACCCACAGGGAAACCACTGCCATCACTGCCAATGTGGCCAGAAGTTTGATGACCAAGGGTTAATACAAACTTGGCTCCTCGAGGAGCTAGACCAGAAATGGAATGAGAGAAAATGAAAGGGGAAAAAACTACAAACATTTTCAACAGACAAAACAATCCTCTCTTTGCCAACTGAAACTAGCCATAGTGATAACAGAAACTGGAACTGCCCCTGATGCAGGTTTGAATCCAGAATCTGACTCTGAGCCAACACCTGCTGGTTTCTCCCTGCCCCCATGGAGCTGGCACTGGGTTCGCCTCACACCCCTGACCCACAAGTGTCTCCCTCCTGGTCCGACAGGCCTTTGAAACCCACCACCACATACAACAGTTTACAATGGCAGAAACAGCCCTCAAGAGTCTGAGAGAAAAGGAATGGAAAGGCATGTCCAGGTACAAAGTGTGACCACGGATGCAGACATCCCAGGATCTCCCTACCCTCTGCTTGGGCGCAAGTGCCTGTGTCAGCAACTGGAAAGGGGTGGCAGGCTCTCTCGCCGGGACTACTGTACTCTTGAGGGCCTAACCCTGAAAAAGTGGAGCCTTTTAGGTGGAAGCCTGCTTTCCACCTCCACGATCACAGCTGAGACTCTTGTTCCTACTTCCAGGACGAAGCTTTGGACTCAACCACTTTCCCAGTCTGATGTGGGTCACCTGCTCCTGGGTCAGAAATGCAAGTCACCAATACCATGTCAACTCCAAGGTCTCAATTCACGCAAAAGTAGTCTTGGTCTGCGTTAAGAATGACTGGGTGTGTCCTCACCACAAGAACAGCCAAACAATGACTTGCATCAATCCCATTGCTGCCCTAAAGGCAGACTTCTAACAGATTCCTCTGGCAAGCATGCATCCTCCTGGGTCTTGTATGGAAAAGTTTTCTAGAATGTTTATAAAATTTTCATAGTATTAAAAGAGAATTCATCCAGAACAATCACATATGTGTGCATAGGAACGACAGTGACACCGGGGAAAGAAAGTAACATTTAACTCCTGCACGCCCGGCGCAAAACGAAAGGGGTTCAATCTAACAGATGTCTGCACCACTGGCAAAGCACACGCTAGAACAGACAGAAGTGAAAACCAAAGCAGCCAACAAAGACATCACTTGTGACATTGTCCCTGTGAACCCTGGATGCTCACTGCTGTGCCTGCATCTAGTCCCAAGCTCCTGCCCACCTGTAATTAGTAACGTCCATCTGTTCCCTTTAATTAAAGGGATAATTATATATAACTTTTTATTAAAAAAACAACTCTGTATTCTGTCAGTAGCTGGTAGGAATTCACAATTAGTGACATGGCTGGAAAAAAATAGACCAGAATAGTAGTTTGTGGAAGGAAAAAAAAAAAAAGGCTGTTCTAAAATTATTTATTTACAGACTTAAAAAGCCATGCTGCAGAACTTTCTCAAAATTATGAAGATTTCCTACAATGTATTAAAATAAAAGATTTCTTAAAAATTATAGTTCTTGGACTCCAAACTCATATGCCGCCTGCCTGCAAACCTTGTGGGTTTTGGAACACACACAACTGAGTGTGTCTGCACGCACAGTGAAGGGTGTGAAGTGGATTCTAGCACCTACTGAGAAACTAAGGAAGGAAAAGAAAACTAAAGTCAAACCCCATGATTGCAGGGACGGTTTTTGAATGGTCAGTCCAGTCCAGGACTCACTAAGTTTCTGGGGACTGTCATGCAAGGAGACTCAAACCAGTCTCAAGGAATCCTCTCTACAAACGAACACTAGGATGCTGATACATTTTTAGTTGTGGGGTTTTTAAATATATAAAGAAATCTTTAGAAGATATTCCTTTTGCTTTTGCAGCTCCTATTGTATGTAAAAAGTCCTGTTTCTCCCCCCAAGAAATGGGGCTTCCACAGCCAGCGCTAACAAATAAATAACTTATAACTGCTTGTCGCCTTCTTTCTTCAGTCGACTAGAAAGGAAAAAAAGGAAAGACTCCTTAGACCAGGCGGCTCAAGGGTCCCCACTCCTGCTCTGAGCTGCCTCCTGCATAGTTGACTGGGCTGCCCTCCCTCCCAGGTGGCCACTCCTTTTGGGTCTATGGGAGGAGCACCACCCTGGCCAGAATGGGTGGGGCCATCATCAGGCTACGCTAGTGGCCAATAGCACACTTTGGGCTGCTACTTGGGAAGGGGTCCCTGTCTCTCGGCCTGCCCGACTCACCTGTAATAATCTTCCTGACTTGGTAGGTGGCCACCATGCATGTGGGGGTGTCCATGCAGCCACTGCTGCTCCATGGCCAGTCTCTGCAGCTCGGCTGACTGGGCGTGCATGGCCTGTAGCTGGTGGGCTGCTGACATGGGGGGTGGGATGGCCCCTGGCAGATCTCGGGGGTAGGGGGTACCTGCCAAACACACAATAGCCCCTGCTACAGAAACGGCAGGGTGTGTGGGTGGGCAGCCCAGGCACAATACCGGAGAAGTCAGAAAAGGGCCTGCCCACCACTGACTGTGGACAGCTCAGCCAGTCCTTGCCAGGCTCCATGTTGTTGTTGTTGTTGTTATGTGCTGTCGAGTCGGCCCTGACTCATAGCGATCCCTCCTTGGGTTTCTGAGGCAGTATCACTACGGAAGTAGGATTGCCCAACCTTCCTTCCGAGGAGTGGCTGGTGGGTTTGAACCACCAGCTTCCTGGTTAGTAGTCAAGTGCTTTAGCCACTATGCTACCAGAGCTCCTGCCAGGCTCCATAGAAAGGGGCCATTATAGCAGAGCTGCTTGGTTACCTGCCTGGATGTCCCCTCACCCCAGGCTTCCTGGTTCCCTCCTCCTTGTCATCCTCTGGGCCTCAGGTGAAGAGAAGCCTTTCCCCTGCACCCTCAGGTAAACCAGGCACCTCTGTGGTTCTCCCACTTCACATGCTCATCGCCCTGGCTCTCCTCATGCTGTTGGTCATTTACACAGTCCCCACTTCCCACCATGTTGGCCTTCCGAAGGGAGGAGTCAGCAGGCTGGCCTTGTGCACTCAGGAGGCACTGGCCAACGTGTGTTTGAGTATACGTATGAAGGACTAGGGACAGCCGACCAGATGACTACCCCAGCTCCATACTGGGTCCCTGCCCCTGCAAGTCAACATAGAGTTAACCCACATCCCCTGTGAGCACAGCAGGTGAATTCTTACCAAACACTGGATGACGAAGCATTTCATGCTCATGGGGTGGCTGTCCAAGCAGAGGGTTGGGAAGGGTGCCAGGGGGATAGGGGAATCGAGCCAGGTGTGGGCCAGCAGTCAGGGGATCAACCAGCGGGTGAACAGGGCCTGCGGAACCTATGGAAGGACAAAACCCTAGATGCAGGTGGTGCCTGGCTCAGGGGCTCTCTGCACGCAGCTCTCCTTGGCTGGGATTCCCACCAAGCTTCTTCTCATCAGAGCTGGCTCCTGGTTATCAGGGTTCTAGGTGCCATGTGGTTGCCCTATGGCTCACCTTCAATGAATGCTACACGAAGGAGTAGAGAACTGCAGGTGATCATGTTCATGAGCACTTCTTCCTCTCATTCCTGAGAACCCCTGCAGCCTACACTCCTCTGTCGGTTGTGCAGAGACCTGCCCTGTTCAAGTCCATGCACAGCCAGTGTCCCTCACCCCCAGGACTGTCTCCTTGTCCTTTTACTCCCACCCAGAGCCCAAAGGAGCCACAGAAGGTGTGTGGTCGGTCGCAGAGCCAGGCTACTGCTGTCCAATGTTGTTGGCAGGAGCTTAGCTCTGCAGGCTCCCCCTGCTGGCAGCAAACGCTGTGCATCTCCTTTTCTGAACGTCCCCTCACCCTCACTCCTGCACCACCTTCTGCCCTACTCCTCTGCTCCAGGTACCAGCAGTGCTGCAGATGGTTTCCCTTCCCACTCTCCCTGCATTACGTCCAGCCACACCCCCTTGCAGGACCTGGGCAGCCCAGCTTCAGGCCCACTGCACTTGCTCTCCTCTGCCTGAAAGTGCTGTCCCCAGCCTGGAAATGCTCTCCCCAGACACCCCTTTGTCCTTTTGTCTTGGCTCAAGTATTACCAGTTGGGAAGGCTGTCCTGATAGCTCCCCCATCAACATAGGAACTTCCTTTCTCTCTGCTTTATTTCTCTCCAGAACACTGGTCATAAGCTGACAGTTGTTTACCGAATGTCCCGTGAAGGTGGAAGGTGAATGTGAATGGGGTTCCGCTTGTCTTGTTCACTGCTGTATCTCTAGCACCCAGAACTGTGCTGGGCAGGCAGTGGTGATGAATGAGTGATGAACAAGTAAAGAACCAAAACAACGGACCTCTAGCCCTCATGCGGCACCAAGGCACACTTGCTGGTTATGCCAGCACTTAGAAGGCCAGCACAGGTGTCACTGAACTCTCTGCAGCACGTCCTGCAGATGGAAGGCCCTGTCTCCTGCTCCACTCACCCTAACAAGTACAGGCCACTTCTCTCCACCCCTGAAACGTTCTCTACAGGGCCTAGGCTGCCCAGCACAGGGTCAAGATCTGAGCTAAATACAGGTGCACAGCTGAGCCCAGGGTACTGCCAGCCAAAGGCCCTGGGCGAGGCAGCTCTCTGCAGAGTTGTAGAGATACAGGCTGTCTGTGAGTCAAGCAGAAATATAGTTCCTAGGCGAATGATGACTATTCTAAGACCTGTCAGGAACTGAGTGTTAGTTTAGGAACATCTCTCTGCTCCTTGAGAGCAATTCCATCTCTGGGTGGGCTCCTGTCCTCTCCCTCCTGATCACCTTCACCACAGAGCGACCCACACAGCTTTCTCAGACCCCATCTAGGTACCCACCTTGATGGAGAGGATCCTGCTGGTGAAGGTGGAGGTGTGAGTGGATGTGGGAGTGCTGATGGTGATGCGGCGTCACGTTGAACATCTGCAGCCGAGCCAGGGGGTCACTGGTCAGGGAGGCCATGCGCTCAGCGTGGATCCGCTCGGCCGCCAGTCTATCAGGGTAGCTCATTTCAGGCCGCAGCTGGGGGCCCGCCAGGGCCAGTCTCTCCCTCTCCAAGGGGTTCAGGCCCGGATGGAATGAAGCAAAAGGGTGAGGGCCAGCAGTGGGGGGGATGGTGAGGGCGCTGTGCCGGGCAAAGTGCTCCATGGGGTTGGTGGCTGGATGCAGTGGGTCCAGCTCTGGGGGCTTCACTTCAAAGCCTGGCTTCATCCTCTCCCGCAACTCACGCTCCCTGATCTCCCGCTCACGGATCTCACGCTCCCGGAGCTCCCGCTCACGGATGGTGGGGTCAACATTGTAGAGGCCAGGCATGTGGTAGGCCAACAAGGGGTCGGTGGGGTTGAGGGGCATGTAGAAGGGGTGGTTGCGGTTGGTGGGCGACATGACGTGAGGCCGTGCATACTCGCTCAGAGTCCGGAGGGCAGGTGTGTCAGGTCCGATGTATGGGGGCACTGCGGCAATGGTGGTTGGTGGGGGCTCGAAGGATGGCCGCATGTGGCCAGGGCCACTGAGCTGGGGGTCACTGAGGCGGCCTTCATGTGCTGAGCTGGATGCCTTCTGCTGCAGGAGAGGGGGGCATAAGGGGTGTGAACCATGTTTCTTGGGGACTGAGCCTGGCACTTCTTGCAGAGGTGGATCCTACCCTACTCCCATCCTGCCTCCCAATCTGAGATCTGGCCCAGGATTGACTGGCTAGGCACAAGGATGTGGTTTAGACCCTGCTGGGGGCCGGAATTGTCTGGACAGTCTCACTTGCCTGCCAGTTTCCCTTGTTCTTAGCAAGTTTGCGTATCTGAGAAAGAATGCATGTGGGTATCTAAGTGTGTGTCTCTGAGTAAGAGAAAGAGACTGTGTGAATGAAAGGAGGAAAAATGGGGCAGGACAGGGGGAAAGAGGAGAGATAGTGCACTAGGTACTAACAGGCCAGTAAACTCACTGGGGCCCCTTTCCCCAACCCCCAGAAGTAGGTAGCCTGATGACCCAGCCTAAGACAGCACCACCATGTGATACCATTGGAGGGAACTGATGTGGCCTGGTCATAGCCCTAAGCGCCTGGCTTTTCTCCCAGATTCTTCCTTTAGTTTCTCTTTGGTTCTTTCAAATTACTGTAGTAGAAAAAGACAGGTTCTTTCCTGGGAGGCCTCCTCATGCCGAAGGTCTGCCCAATCCCACACAGGCTGACACCACGTGACGGCCTGTGGACCAGCCTGGCCCTGCCAATGCCAAGGGAAGGGGTATGTGGCCAGAGTCCAGGGAGAATGAGGTCGAGTGCCAGGTCCATGGGTGTCAGGTGGAATGGCTCAGGAAAATGTGGCATTCTCAGAAAAACCTGGACATCGGGCCCTTTAAACAGTATCCCATCCTCTGGCTACCATGAAAATAAACCAGATGACACCTGACACTGGTGAAGGCCATATCCCTCCAGGCCTGGCCAATGTATTCATCCTGCACTCACAGGAAATGGGGTCTGGACCACCCTCACCCAGTCCCTGCCACCAGGACTCACAGCTGCACGCTCGGCCTCCCGCTCGCGTTCTCTCTCCCGTTCCCGCTCCTTTTCCTTCTCCTTCTCACGCTCCCGTTCCTCACGGGCTTTCTGCTCAGCCTCCCGCTTGGCCTTCTCAATGGCCTCCTCCCTCTTCTTGGCCAGTTTGGACCCCGCCAGAGGCATGAAGTACAGATCTGTTCGTGCGCATGAGTTGTAGCCCCGGTCCAGGTGCTTGTAGAACCTGAGAACAACCACATCTCACACTGGAGGCCCCTGACTTATCTGCCCAACCACACCTCACACTGGAGGCCCCTGCTTCATCTGACCAGCTCCCACCCAAACACCCCCCGCCCCACCCATTGCTGCCTACCTGCAAGAGCCCAGATTCTTAGAGCCATACCTGGCTGACTGGCTGGCATGGCTGGGGGTGTCCACCACGGTGGGCTCCGGAGATGGGCTCCTTGGTGGGGGTGGGGGGCTCTCAGGTTCCTCAGCCTCGTCCAGAGCCTCTTCTTTGATCTGGACAGTGGGGAGAGGGCAGGACGTGCCCCCAGGGATGCTGCCCCCAGAAGAAACAGCAGCAGAACAGGGTGGCTGGGCGGAGGTGCCAGGTCCCGCAGGTGGAGTAGAAGTGGAGGGGCAGGCTGGAGGGGTTATGGGAGGAGGGCCCCCAGGGACAAAGGGGTGTTGAGCAAATGGAGGTTGGGGGGGTACTTGGTGGAGGCCTGCTGGGGGGTGGGTGGCAGCAGTAGGAGGCAGGTTCTGGCTCTGGGTTAGCACAGGGGGCTGGGCAGGAGAAGAGGGCAAAGGCTGGCTCTGTGGCATGAGCTGCAGGGGTGGAGGGTGGGCTGAGGGGGGGTGATGTGTGGACAGGGAGCTCAAGGGCTTCAGTGCTGGTGGGGGTGGCAGGTTGGCATTCATAGAGAAGGGGGAGGGCCCTGAGAGGTGAGGTGGGTGCTTATGGGCTTGTGGTGCAGGCAGTTGGGGAATGGGAGTGGTGGGTGGGGGCTTGATGTGAGGCATGGCCAAGGGGGCTGGCGGCAAGGGCTGCTCACGTGGGGGCTGCTGGGACTGCAATGCAGCCTGAGACGTTGGGAGCTGCAAGGTGCTATGAGGGTGGGCTGCCGCCTGAGTGGTCCCTAGTGGGGCCTGGCCTTGGGTGGCCTGAGGAGGGAGACCGAAGGGCTGAGGGGGCCCTGGATGCTGCAGCAGGGGACCAGCCTGCAGGCTGTGAGGGCCAGGTGGGCCCTGACTGTGCAGTGGGGGCTGGGCATGAGGCTGGGCTGTGGTCTGGCCAGCTGGCCCAGTCAGAGGCTGTAGTGGAGGATGCGGTGAGGGTAGCCTCTGAGGGTGCAAGGCGGGTGCCTGCTGGATGTGGGTGTGGGGAGCAGGTGCCGTGGCAGCCTGTGGCTGGTTTGGAAGCTGGGAGGCAGCGGGGGAGCCCTGGGGAGGGCAGGCAGGGCCAGAGGGTGTGGGCCCTGGAGTAGGGAGCTGGGTGGTCCCTGGCAGGGCTGTGGAGGGAGTTGGGGCTGTTCCACTGGGAGCCTGCAAAGCTGACGGCTGGGCCTGCAGCATCTGCTGCTGGGCCGAGGAGTCCGAGTCACTTTCGTTGTCCTGGGGGCTGGGGATGCTGGGGGATGTGCTGCGATTGTCCTGGTCGATGTCTTTGGGGTCACTGCTACCCTCATCATTGACACTGCGACTGTCTGAACTCTCTCCCTCGCCTTCAGATGGTGAGTTGGGCCGGCTGATCTCCTACGGCCAGAAAAAAGAGGGACAAAAGCTGCAGGAGAGCACTCTCTGCCTGGCACTGCTAGCACCAGACACACAGTAAAGGCTTGTGCAGGTGACGCAGCAAGGTGAGCCCCACATTGACTTGGGCCACAAGCTCTAGTTGCCTCCCTGGGAGACAGGGTGCCACCATTCCCCAGTGAGGATCTGAGCTGGACTTCTGAATAGGCATCAGCCTGCCAGCTGTACACAGCATCACTCAGCTGCAATACTCACCTGGGTCTTGGTTTTCTTGGAATTGGTTCTGTCTGCCTCCTCCGTGTCAGAGGCTACTTTCTCCCGCTGGCGCTTGGTGCTCTTAAGAGGTGATGAGGCTTCCTCCTTAACCTTCTGCAGTGGGGAAGCCCACAGGGGCACATCAGGCTAAGGGAGCATGTCCCATCAGCCTCAATGAGGAGATGGTAATAGCTCAAAGACCCTCTGCTCCCTTATTCTGAGCTCATCTCCAGAAGCAAGGAAGCTCTGGAAAGGGCTAGCAGGGCTAGGAAGGAACATGTATCTGGGAATGGGAATATCTTGGTTTTGGGAGGAAGGAGCCTTTCTGACAGCTTCCTGCCCTCAGCCTCTGAGGCCTTGGGAAACTCAAGGCAGAGGAAGCTCCCAGAGGGGAATGATCAAAGGTCAGTGTGGGAACCTCAGTGACATGCCCTCCCCTCTAAGCCCCACACCTCCAATCTGCAGCCCTCAGGCCAGGGCAATACTGGTGCCCCAGAGAGGCTCCATGGAGAGCATGCGGCCCAGGTCTAAGGAAGCTGAACACTAACTCTAGCCACCCAGGGTTTTAATGGGAGGAGGGTCCATGCAGCCCTACCTGCCCATCCCCAGTGTCCCACCTTGGCTGATTTCTTCACTGTCTCTGATTTACTGTCATTGCTGGAGGTGCTGGCAGCGCTGGGTGAGTTCCGGCCGCTGGAGCGGACGTCTTCATTGATGGGTGAGGTACGACCATCAGGGCTGGCTGGCTGCTTCTTCCGACCACTTCGTAGTGTAGACATCTGTGTCCCCAAACAGGAGTGTGGTGAGACTGGATCCCTACTCCTCATGGGGGTCTACCTGAGCCCAACACACATGCAAAGCCCACTTCCCCTGGTAGCAAATGCAGCCCACTGGCTATTGTCAGGGATCCTGCCTCTCCCTTGATGCTTGCTCCAGAGGTCAGTGTGGAGCTAAGGGAGGAGGTGGGGTGAATGAGTGGGTTCACATGGACAAGACAGCAACTCTCAAACTCTAAGCATTCATCTCACTGTGTCTGACAGAATTGAGAAGATTTTCTGAAAGGCAGGGAGTCAGCCAGGGCAGTATCCAAAGTTCCCCATGATGCAAGTACACACAAGCTGTCTGTGAATCACCTTGCCCTTTCTGTTTATTCCATGTAACTGCCCACTCCCCTAACCCAAACCAACTAAACCCCTGCTGATATAATCTGACAGGATGGGAAGTGACCTAAAGAGATGAAGCAGTCAAACAACGTAGCTCAACTCCTATAACCACTGTTTCTGCAAAAGCCTCCACGGCTCAGAGATCACAGCATAATGCTGAATGCTAGTTCACCAGCCTCTCCTGAATGAGCAGCGACCAGGCTGCTGGGTGACAGCAGCTATGATGGGACATCAAGGTCCAAGAAGGTGGATGGTTCCACACACTTGCCAGAGGTGCCCTGGGGAGGCCAGTGCTAGAGGAACCCTGAAAAAGCTTCTTTCCCCAATGTCCTGCCACATTTCTGACATGGAAACAAAGTTTCTTTATGGAAGGGACCATGCAATGAAAGAAAATTATACCAGAAGTTTAAAATTTATAAAAAGAAAACAAACCCAAGAGTCTGTAAAATTTCAATAGTCAAGATAAACCACACTAGAGCTGACTGGTGCTTGGGACATTAGAAGTGGGAGGGGCTGGGAGAGGTGGCCCTGAGCCAGAGACCCACAGCTGAGCTCTCTGAAACTCAGCTCAGGGTGTATACCTCCACCCCAAATCCCAAGGAAAATTGGAGAAGGAGGGAATGGAGCACTCCTCCTAGCTCCCCACACAAAGCTAATGCCTTTGGGTAAATACTGTCACTTCAAGGGGCCTGTTTCTCTACCTAAAATAAAGCACATCACTTTTTCTTCTGGTGGGCACAGCTTTGCACCTCTTCCTGACATGGAGCTGGGTCAAAGCCCCATGGTAGGAGGGGTAGGTGGTGTGGGGGGGACTCACCGAGCCACGACTCCGCCGCGTCCTCATGCTATGCTTCCCAGTGAGCCCATCCTCCTCCTCTTTGACGGGTTTGAACATAAATGGTGGGGGATCCACTGGCTTCTCAATCGGGGGGAGCTCACCGTACTTCTTGAAGTGGATGCGGCAGTCTGTGCAGAGCAGGATGTTTTCCCGGCCACCGTGGTGCCAGTCTTTGGAGGCTGTGTGTGGGGAGAGACAGGGGTGGGCTGTCACCCTTGGAAGCCACCTGTATCCTTGGGGATGTCTGAGCAGAGAAGGCCCTTCTGCCGGAGCTCAGCCCAATGACAGTGCCATGAGAACCATGCAACACTGGGCTTGGACAGATACCTATTACTCAGAAAACACAGGAGCTGGGGCTGCCCTGCTCTCTCTGGGGTCTGGAGAGGTTTTAGGGATGCTCAATGCCACCCCCAAATCACTGGTACCCAGAATGAACTGGCAGCAGGCTCCCAGGAACCACAGGGCCCCAAACTTGAGCAAGTCCTTCCTATTTTACTGGTCCCTACTTGATGCTGACTGCTAAACAGAGGCATGAAATCAATAAAGACTTGTAACTTTTTCAAACCTAAAGCAGAGTGTAGATGTTCAGAATCTGGCAGTACCCATGTTTGGCCTGCCTGCTGCAGAGACGGCCCTCTTTATCCCTCAGTAGGTAAGGCACTCACTGGTGGTGAAGCAGTGGCGACAGGCGTATCCCTTCAGCTCCTGTTCACTATCTTCACTGTCGAAGTCATCCTCGCTGGCTGAACTCAAGTCCACTGGGCACCATGGGCACAAAGAGGGTGAAGAAGGGAGCATTAGTTTCTGCTGAGACCGGGGGCCACAATGTGACCTCTGGCCTCCCCAGTTTAAAGCCACCAATCAGAATGGCTCAAAAGGCTGAGGCAAGCAGAATTCATTAGGGACCACTCTGAATCCGTAAGAGTCAGTCATAAGAATGAAGAGTTTACGTGTAAGGGGTGGAACTCAAGGGTCTGCCAGGCAGATTTAGGGGCTAATGTCACTACACCTGCATCTTGGGCGGCTGACACAGATGCCCACAGCTGGCTGAATTTGAATTGGGAAAGCGCATCTATGATGCTTTCCTGCCTCGCACAGGCATCCTACAGAATTCTCTCTCCAATGAGCCACGCCTCACAGTATTTCTGGCTGTTTCCATGCATGACATCAATAGCCCTCCAGCGCAGGGCCTGGACCTGACAGAGTGCAAGGCACTATTCCTACAGTCCAGTTTACAGAGGGTAAGGAGGAGTCATGGGTGGGCTTCACCATCATCATGGATTGCATTTCACACAGGAACCAAGAAGAGGACCTTAGAAAGCATTTGTTTCTTCTCAGAGGAAAAGAGAAAATATTAATCTGTCCACATTACTACCAAAACAATAGTACACTAAGAACTCAAACAGTACATTACCTATTAAACAAATCTCTTCAGGTACCAAAAATACCTCATTAGGTACCAAAAATACCTCAGTCCAAGGCCAAGACTTGTATTTTTGTAAAAAGTTAAATGAGACTGGATTTATTAGAAAAATTAAAATGTGTGGATAATTAAAAAAACAACAAAGAAAAACCTCTTCCACTGGTCATCTGAGTCAGTGCTACATTTAGGTCATGCTTCACAGACATATGCACACATGCACACACTTGCACTGACCCCCCCAGGCTATCAGCTCCAAATCCAGCTCCTCTGCAGAGGCCAGTACTGTGAGGACTCCCACGCATGCTGGCATGGGGGGCGGATCACAAACATGTGGCTCAGTATGGAAAGTCTCCCACTACCCATTGCAGTATCGAGACCTAGCTCCCACTTACAGAATTCACTAGAGGGGGGCCTGGAGGGTGTGTTGACGGGTGTGGATGCTGTGCGAGTCTTAATCCTCCTGAACACAGCTTGTCTGCGATGCCGGCGATGGGCCCGAGAGCTGGCTGCTTCAGGGGTTTTCTTCCAGTAGTAGTAGAAGGTGATTAGTTCCCCCTGTAAGAAAGAATGGGTGGTTGTGAGCTCAAGTGCACAGAGGGGTTTTGGCTTTTAGATGTCCCCTATGCGTCCTCTTCTGCCAAGAGTAAGAAGGTGAGTACAAGTCAGAGTTTGTTCCTGGAGCTGTGAGCTGCCCAGGGGCTAGGCTGATGGGTCTGTCTCAGTCCCTCAGAGCGTAACTGCCAGGCATCAAAAACATTCATTTATTCAACAAATATCTATGGGGTGTCTACTATGTGCCAGATACTACAGCTGCCCTGAACATTGTGGCACATCAATAAACAACAAACAGGAAAGAGAAAAAAAATCCCTGTCCTTGTTGAGCTCACTTTGCAGTTGCATGTGTGTAAGTGTACAGAGATGTGCTCTTCACAGTATTCTAGGGAAATCACACTAGGAAAGGAAATGCCTGGTCAATTAGACTGCCCCAGAAACAAACACAGAAATCCAAGGAGGTGTGGGGGGACTCGGACCAAGCAGAAGGGTGAACAAACCAGAGACTAAACCCCAGGAAAATGCTCTACAGATTGCAACCCAACCTGATGCCCATACCTGGACAAGGTGGCACTAAGTCCTAATGGTGATGACTGGTGTTTGACAAAGAAACACTAAGAAGGGACCAACAGTGTGCTGGTATAGAGATGAAATGTCACACAACACAAGGTCAGCCTTTAAGACTAAACGAGTTCTTCTTCTCATGGTCCAACAAAAAGGGAGGCAAGTCATCTTGCATTTTTTTTTTTAACAAAAAGACCTGTCTGGTACCCCTGCACCCAGGGGCTCAGTAGGCCGGTTCCTGTCACACTGTATACAGAAATGGCAAAAAGGCACCCTGGTGGATTAAAGATGATTTCTTAAAATAAACATTAAGATAAAGTATCTGAAAATTTTAAGGTATCTCCTAAAGCAGTGAGAGAGCCTAGATCACACTGTGCTTTTCTAATTAAATCAGTGTTGTAGAAAGTCAATTAGCTTGGGCCAGACTACCATATTCTGTAATAATGGGCTCAAAAATACCAACATTTGTGAGAATGGAGCAGGACTGAGTAGCATACCATTCTGTTAGACACTATGAGATGAAGCCAACTCCATGGCCCCTAACAATAACACAGTACCCTAGGAAGTTGCCCTGGGCTATCTGGACCTGTACGTAGAAATGACTTGGCCAGGAACCACTCTGCTTTGTTGTTGCTAGCGTTAGGTACTATTGAGTTGGTTCCAACTCATAGTGACTCTATGTACAAAAGAATAAAACGTTATCTGGTCCTGCACCATCCTCACAATCCAATGATTGTGAGGATATCTGAGATTACTGCTGCAGTCCTGTTTTTTGCTAACCCTCTACTTTACCAAGCATGATATCCTATTCCAGGGACTGGCTCCTTCCTGATAACATGTCTAAAGTATGTGAGTCAAAGTTTCACCATTCTCCCTTCTCAGGAGCATTCTAGGAAGCTCTGGTGGTATAGTGCTTAAGACATTTGACTGCTAACCAGAAAGCTGGAGGTTCAAACCCACCAGCCTGTGTATTGTTTGGCTGAAAGGCGATCCCCAGGGGTGTGTTCATTTCTATGTTTGAAGGGTTCTTCAGCAAAATTTTACCTGTATGTGATACTAATGATATTTCTTGATAATTTCTGCCTTCTGTTGGATCACTTTTCTTTGGAATAGGCACAAATATGGATCTCTTTTTAGTTGGTTGGCCAGGTAGCTGTCTTCTAAATTTCTTGCATAGATGAATAAGCACTTCCAACATTGCATATGTTTGTTGAAACATCTCAATGGGTATGCTGTCAATTCCTAAGCTTTGTTTTTTGTCAATGCCTTCAGTTACGCTTGGACTTCTTCCTTCAATACCACTGGTTCTTGATCATATGCTACCTCCTGAAATGGATGACCACTGACCCAGTCTTTCTGGTACAGTGACTGTGTATTTCTTCCACCTTCTTTTGATGCTTTCTGCATCATTCAATACTTTGCCTATAGACTCTTCAATACTGTAGCTCAAGGCTTGAATCTTTCTTCAGTTCTTTCAGTTTCAGAAATGCTAAACATGTTCTTCCCTTTTGGTTTTCTAATTCCTGGTCTTTGTATGTTTCCTGTAATACACTTTGTCCTCTTGAGCTACTCTTAGCTACTCTACATTCAAGAGCAAGTTTTAAAGACCTTCTGACCTCCATTTTGTTTCTTCTTTCTTTCTTATCTGTTTAATTACATTTTGCTTTGTTCATGTATGATGTCCTTCATGTCATCCCACAACTCGTCTAGTCTTTGGTCATTAGTGTTCAATGCATCAAATCTATTCTTGAGATGGTCTCTAAATTCAGGTGTGATATACTCAAGGTCATACTTTGGCTCACTCATGGAGTTGCTGTAGTTTTCACAGATTGCATTCAGTGAAGTCCATGTATACAGTTGCTGTTTATGTTGTTGAAAAATGGTATTTGAAATGAGTAAGTCATTGGTCTTACAAAATTATATCATGTGATCTCTCACTTTGTTTCCATCATCAAAGCCGTATTTTCCAATTACTGATCTTCATTTCCAACTCTGCCTTATTTGCAAATGGAGGTGCCAAGAAAAGGCAGCAAAGACTTTATTCTTCAGTGACTTAAGATCTTGTTGTAAAGATTCAAAAAAAAGCATAGATGAAACACAAGCTCCATGACTGACAATGAGTACCCGATCACATGGGGTTTCATGAAAAACACTTCTGGAGGAAGTGGCCTTTAATGACGACAATGACAAGTAAGTTGGTAGAGAAGTGGTCATATATTAGGTGTGGAAATGGTTTCTGCAAAGCAGGTTAAATGTGTCCTGGGGAGGGGGCTAGAAAAATACCAGAGCTGGGCATTTTTCTAGGAAGTGGTTACACCGACACCATGAGATCTTTGAAGGAGGGCTATTACCAAGGAACTTCTGGCACTTTGGTAAACCTTCCATTGTCTCTTGGCACCATGGATGTGTTTCTGTCTTCCGGAGCACCACTTAACATGCTATTAACTCTTTTGGTTCTGAATTAAAGATTCTTTTCTGTCATGTAAAAAGCCTCCGCACCCCCTTCAAGTCCAGGTGAGCTCTTTCAGCCCTGTACCTATCCAAATATTGGCTTAACAGCTGGAGATCTCTGTGTATGCAGCAGCTGGCCTCCAACTCAGGCTGACATGATGATAGAAATGGCTAAAGATTAGAATTCTTCAGACAAAAACCACCAAATATCCTACTGAACTGCCCAATCCCAGGAGTCAAAGTGTTTCCCAGTCTATGCTTGTTATTTCATTGCTCATGTATGTCTCAAAATCCAGAACTGGCAAATGATTAAAGGAACCAGGAGAAAGTCAACCCAGATTCCTCCTCCAGCCCCAGTTGCTACTGCAGCAAAGGGAGAGAGAAACATGTTCTTCCCTTTTGGTTTTCTAATTCCTGGTCTTTGTATGTTTCATATAATACACTCTGTCTTCTTGAGCTACTCTTTGAAATCTTCTGTTAAACTTCCTGCCTCATCTTCCCAGCAGGAAGCTGCCAGAGGCCCCCATTTCCATTAATCCCCTGCACTGGGAACAAAAAAAAGACCCACAAGACCTGGCTTCCATTTTAAAGGTCCACTCTGGCTGCTAGGTTGGGAAATCAGTTAGCTAGCTACTGAAATGAACTATGAAACACATGATGATGGCTTAGACCAACTGCCAGCAATGGAGGAAATGGCAGAAGTGGTGAGTTTCTGGGCATATTTTCAAGGTAAGGCCAAGATTTACTGATGGATTAAATGTGGGCCGTGAGAAAAGGGAAGAGTTAAGGATGATCCCTCAAGACTCCTGGCTGGAGCAAACGAAAGGATGGAGTCAGCTGAGCGGGATTTAGAGCGAGATCAGGAGCTTGTTTTCAGACATGGTAGTAAATATGAGATGCCAATCATACATTCTAGTCCAGATGTTGATCCAGCAGCTGGACTATGAGCTAAGTTCAGGGAAGAGAGAAGCCTTCTCTCTCTCTCCCCTTTATCCTAGCAAGACCATGAGATGTGTCCAACTTTTTTCTCTCCTCATATTTAATCCACTCATTCCTCTCACTTGGTCACAGTTTGCTGGATGAGATCACAGAGGACCAATGGCTGGCCCCTTATAATCAACCCAAAGAGGCTGTAAAATGAAGATTCTCAGGTCCATACACTGAATCAGGCTCCCCAGTGAGTGTAGCTGAGAATCTGCTTTCAAAACGCTCCCCATGTGATTCTGATGTATAGCCAGGTTTTGGAAAGCATGGGCCCAGATGAAACCATCTTGCAGATGAAGAAACCAAAAATCTAGAGAAGACTGTGCCCATGAGCTGGTAACAGCATCCCAGGTTCCCTACTCAGCATTCACTCACCAGACTACACTGTCTCCTACTTTCCTCAGTGTCTCATCCCTGGTGATCATCTGAAAAGCAATTTAAGTGAATAGTAGTTGTGATGGTTAAGGTTGTATGCCAACTGCTGGGTGATGATTCTCAGTGGTTTGGGAGTTACAATACAGTCACCCCTCATGATTAGATCTGATACAAGGTAATGACCTCCATGATGAGATCTGCTATGAGATGAAAGGGAGTTTTCCTCAGGAGTATGGCCTGTACCCAATATATATGGATGTTCTGGCAAAGCTCTTTGGCTTTTTGCTTGATCTGCATCCTGCATCTGGTTTGTCATCATATCTCTGGCTTTTTGGACTTGAGCCACTGGCCTATCATATTGCCTGCTGATCTTGGGATTTGTTAGCCTCTGCAGCCTGTCATCTGGCCTGCTGATCTTGGGTTAGTTAGCTCTTGTACCTACATGAGTCAGGAGAAGCTTGAAACTTACCAGCCTCTACAATCATGTGGGCCATTTCCTTGAGATAAATTAATCAATCTCAATCTCTCAAACTCTCAATTCACTCTCTCTCTAAGGAGCTCTGGTGATACAGTGTTAAAGCATTTGGCTATTAATCAAATGGATGGTGGTTCAAACTCACCAGCTGCTC